AAAGAAGAAAAAGTGGACTGTGCATTATCCAAACATTCCATCAGCTATACTATCAGACTATTGCTGGACAGTGACGAGAGATGCTCCATTTAATGAATACAAGAGACAAGCCAAGAAGCGCCGAGTAGACACTGAATAGCACTGAACTATGTACATAATAGTTTTTTGCCTTTTGTTTCATAATAAATGTTATTTATATAACCCTTTTGCTGATTTTTAAAGTGTTACATAAACAGGACAGGTGAAATATTATCATGTAAAGCAACCATAAACACATGAAAAGACCTAGGTTTACAATTTATGATTAAAACTCTACTATCTACACAATATACATAGACATAAAATGTAAAAACTTAAATACCTTAGAAACAGTGGCCAATCAGTTGTTTTAATTGTCATATTTGAATTCAGCATATCAAAATACATAATAAATAGCACATTTTATCTCTGAAGCAGACGACTTCTCAAAACTTGTAGACTAGTCTTATATATATATATATCCATATATGCACATACAGTCGGATTTAACTAATCCACACAACCTGCAATTCTCACTCAAATAATGGTGCTCACTCATGAAAGCTCAGTTAAGATTTTGTAGCAGTTGGCTGAAATGAGGTCTCCTATTAGACTCATCAATTTCACTTCTGTTGGCTGCCTTATCTCAAACAGTCCATGCAGTCTGCATTCATGCCAGTCACACACTGTTAAATTTAACATTTTCTCATCTTTTATTATTCAAGAGATATGGATATGCTGTCCCAAAAGTGATTAAAATCTTAGTACTTGATGTCAAACATTCCTTTTAATATAGTACTAAAAAGAATATGGTGAGTCAACACTTGTATTAGTGTGTCAGACTGGGGAATCCCAGTATTTGGCAGTAATGGATTAAGTCTAGCACTCTATGCAAGTTTAAATGTGTGTGCATCACACATAGGAACGGGATTTAATAAAGCAAGAGACAACAGCATAATTCACAAATGTTTGAGCAAATGGCAAGCCAGGAGTCAATTAAATACTGTTTTTCATGCCTACAAATGAAAATAACTTGTCTCTCTGCCTGTCCTCACAATGTTTGGTTTTATTAATAGCATATTTGATTCTTTCTGTAGTTCAGAGTAGCATTCCTGAAGTGTGAAGTTGGCAGGGGGGATGCTATTCCTTTGAAGAATGAAATGACACTGGTGGGTCAGCTTCTCCTAAATGCAGCTGTCAGGTGAGAAATCCCTAATGGACTTTCCCCCTTAACCTCCTTTCTACTGTCAGTGTTTATTTTTACATTAACAAATATGATTTGTTGTAGAAGTTATTGTACAAATCTATTTCTAGATAAGCATCTTATTTTAATTTGAGTTTCATCTTTCATGTTATGAAATGTCATGGTATCCAGGGTAAGCTAGTGCTGTTTGCAACTGGGATAATGGTACTGTAGCTATAGGCTCTAAGAAAGTGATATATGCAAATAGCATGAAAACATCATTATATAATTGAATTGTGGTATAATGCAAAACAGACAGAGCCAATGGAGTTGCATCTTCATACACCAGGTCTGAATTTGGCCCACACTGTAATCAGCAGTGTGGTCTAAATGCATTTTTTTTTCAATAAACATGAGCCTGAGGGAAGAAGCTGATTAGGCCCAAATGGGGCTCAGCTGTTAAGCCAAGACATTCAGATGAAGACAGATTGCAGTTAAATCAGAATGGTCTGTATCTGAAGGAGGCAGGTGGGGTGAGTACATATCAAGGGAGTAGAGATCAGTGCAGAGGAGAACTCAAAAGAAATAATTTGTTGGAGGCTTTGATTCTCAACTCTAGCAAGGAGATTCAGGGATCCTTCCCTGAAAACACAAATTGTCATTACTTTTGACATGAAGCCTTCTATACGTAGCCTTCTTTTGTTTCTGCTCCTCAATTTTCAACTTTGCATGGTCCAAAAGTTTGGATTTTCCATTATTTTTCCTTCTTCTACCTCTCTTTTTCAGTTTCCTGGTTTTCTTCCTCTTCTTTCCCTCTTGTACCTTGTCTTTCCTTTCAACCCTCTTCCGTTGCCAAATTCATGCTCGTCATCCACATCCTCTCCCACCCCCACTTCTTCTCTCAACTGTCCATCTTCAACATGTACATTTCCCCATCTGTGCTCTCATCCTCAGATGCCCATCCTTCCCTGCATATCTTTCCACAACAATGGTTTGCTTGTGGAGTACCTTCCTTTGCTTGATACTGCTTCCTACTTTACCTGATACACACCTATTAGATGGAAAAAAGAGTGGAGTCCTTGTATTGGAAGGCACTTACAGAGTTAATGTTTTACAGCTCTTACTAGAAGAGCTAAGCACACTAAGAAGGCTATGAGGTCAGCAAAATCCCCAGTGCAGAATACAGTTAAGGAGAATAGCAGGCAGGGTCAGGAAATGTAAACTCCTTAAAGAGGCAGCTCTTCTGAGACCTGGGCTGCAGGCCAAAATCAAAGCAGCTTCAGCAAAGATGCCTAAATCCAACAGAAAGAGAGATGGAGGGGGCAGTTCTATACAGGGGCGGCTCTATGTATTTTGCCGCCCCAAGCACGGCAGTCAGGCCGTCTTCGGCGGCATGACTGCGGGAGGTCTGCTGGTATCGTGGATTCGGCGGCATGCCTGCGGGTGGTCCACCGGTCCCGCGCCTTCAGCGTATCCGCTGCCGAATTGCTGCCAAAGCTACGGGACCAGCGGACCTCCCACAGGCATGCCGCCGAAGGCGGCCTGACTGCCGCCCTCACGGTGACCGGCAGGCCGCCCCCCGCGGCTTGCCGCCCCAGATACGCGCTTGGTGCGCTGGTGCCTGAAGCCGCCCCTGGTT